TATAGAGGTTCTTGGGGGAGCCTAAGTTCTCATTGCTGTTAGAATGAGATGGCTGGATCATATTCTAAGTGTACGTATAACATGATAAGAAACTATCAAACCGGGCCAGGCCTGTAATCCCAGCACTTGGGAAGGGCTACGCAGGCAAATCACTTGAAGCCAAGAGTTTGAGACCAGGCTGGGCAACAGGGTGAAACCCCATCTCTACAAAAATACAGAAGTTAGCTGGTTGTGGAGGTGCGGGCCTGTAATCCCAGCTACTCGGGAGGCTGATGCATGACAATCACTTGAAACTGGGAGGCAGAGGTTGCAATGAGCTGAGGTGGTGCCACTGCACTCCAGCCTGGGGGAGGGGGACATGGCGAGACTCAGTCTCAAAAAAAAAAAATAAAATAAAAAGAAACTACCAAACTGTTTCCAAAGCATCTGCATCATGTTTAATTTCCATAAGTCACGTATGAGAATTCTGGGTCCTCCAAATAATTAACAGCCATTGGTAGTGTGAGCTTTTGTTTCAGCCTTCCTTATGGGCATGTTGTGGCATATCCCTGAGATTTTAATTCGTGTCTCCCAGTGACTAACGGCGTTGAACCACTCGTGCCTTCCTGTGCCCATTTGACACTCCTGTATTTTCTTTGGTGAAGTGTCTGTTCAATCATCTGCTCGTTAATTTTTCCTTGGGTGGTTCGCCTTCTTATTGTTGGATTTTGAGAATTCTTTATAAATTTTATGTACAAGTCCTTTGTCAGTTGTGTGATTTATAAGTCTTTTTCCTAGACTCTGAAGTTTCTTTCATAGAGCAAACGTTTTAAATTTGAATGAGGTAAGACTTATCAATTATGCTGACACTGCCATACGTAGGAACTCTTTGCTTAACTGGAGGTCACGGAGATTTTCCCCTACACTCTCTTTAAAAGTTTTATAGTTTTAGATTTTACATGAAATTCCATAATCTCTATTTAGTTAAATTTTGTATGGGGTGTGAATTGTGGTTTGACTGTTTTTTTTGGATGTGGATATCCAATGTCTGACAGGGGAAGCCAACAGGTCATAAGAGGAAGGAGGCAGAAATGGACACATCTTTTAGCCATTTGGTTGCTCCTCTGGGAGCTGGGTTTTTATACGCCTGGCACAGCCTCAGGGGCTGGTCCCTACCCAGGGCCCCGTCTTCAATGTCACTCAGCTTTCTGCTCCAAGGTGACCTCTGGGGGAGTCCCTGCGTGATCACCGCATTCGGAAGAGCCCCCTCCCTCCCCTTCTAGCTCGCCTCAGTGTGGCAATGTTTTTCATTACCACCACCACTGGACTTGGTCTTATGACCTGTTGGCTTCCCGTCAGACATGAGCAACAGGATGGCAGGGACCTGATCTGTCTTGTTCATCCTGTATCCAGGGCCCTCTCACCGTGCCTGGCACAGTGTAGTTGCTCAAGTAAAGTGTGTTATTGAGTTCAACTACCTGGGAGGTAGAACTCCACTTCTTCCTCTTACCAAGGAGGCTACGAGGCTCAGAGAGAGCAAGGGACTTACTAAGGGTCACTGAGCCAGCGAGAGTCGACATCAACTGAGTTCTACTAAATCCAGAACTTCTTCCTTCTTGAAAGTTGAAGACAGGCAAGGTGAAACTCCAGCCAATAGGCGGCATGAATGCTTGTTCTAGAGACCCCATGCAGATTCCTAGGAGCTGCGTCTTCATGGACACAAAATAACAACTGCTCACCTGTGTTGTGTGTCAACTATGTGCCTTTGCTCTGCCAAATCCTTATTCCTTCCTAAATATTTGCTTAGCAATTAAATGTATAGCAGCTCAGTTTGAAAAACAAAGCAACAGAGATGTGTAGAAAGATAAAATGGTCTTTACCTTAATTCTACTTCTTCTAATTCCATGGTGATGTGTGGATTTTTCTGAAAATTTGTCAAGTGCATATATAAATGAGTAAACAAATATACACACATACACTGTATTTTTTTTTTTTTTTTTTTGAGACAGAGTCTTGCTTTGTTGCCCAGGCTGGAAGCAATGGTGCAATCTTGCTTCATTGCAACCTCCTTCTGCCTCCCAGGTTCAAGTGATTCTCCTGCCTCAGCCTCCTGAGTAGCTGGGACTGAAGGTACATACCACAATGCCCGGCTAATTTTTGTATTTTTAGTAGAGACGGGGTTTCACCATTTTGGCCAGGCTGGTCTCGAGCTCCTGACCTCAGGTGATCTGCCCGCCTTGGCCTCCCAAAGTGCTGGGATTACAGGTGTGAGCCACCGAGCCCGGCCCACTCAGGCATTTTCTATATAGATGGGATCAGCCCTCACCTAAGATTTGAGACGTACTTGTCCCTGCTCTCTGTGCTGGTGTCTGATGGAACATGTACAATGCTGTGTGAAGGTTTATGAGGACTGTTTCTCATATGGGAAGACTGAGGCTCACAGGTGAATGGGTGATGCCTGAGCCTGGTCCCTCACAGAGCGGTCTCCATGGCTGGTCCGACACGCCTGCCCACTGTCCTACTCTAGGCAGGGGGGCAGGGGGTAGAAGAGCCCCTGAGAGAAGCATGAACTTCTGTCTTCTGGATGGTGGCTTCCTTCCCTCCATACTCGCTAGGAGACATCCCTTGAGGTTGTGTGACTTGGCAGCTGAGACGTTCCTGGTTGGAAGGAAAACCACTGAAGGGGCTCCAGCCTCTTGGGGCTCTGGCAGTTCCCACCTGAGACTTCCTGATCCCCACACTGCCTCCCTTTTTGCCTCCTGTCACCTGGAGCAGGATCTGGCTGAGGGATGCTGCTGCCCCAAGCCCTTTATTTTTGGCTGCCTACTAGGCAGGGAGGAGGCAGGCAGGGATTTGATGGCCCAGCCCAGCCTCTCCTAGCCTTCCCCAGGGGATAAGAATAGACCAGGAACAAGGAAGTCCTAGGTGGAGCTATTGTTTCGGGGGCACTGATATGGTTTGGCTGTGTCTCCACCCAAGTCTCAGCTTGAATTGTAATTCCCATAATCCACATGTGTCTAGGGAGAGGCCAGGTGGAGGTGACTGGATGATGGAGACTGTCTCCCCCATGCTATTCTCATGATAGTGAGTGAGTTCTCACGAGAAGTGTGGCACTTCCTCATTCTCTCTTCTCTCTCCTGCTGCCAAGTGTGAAGGTCCAAGCTTGCTTTTCCTTTACTTTCTGCCATGACTGTAAGTTTCCCGAGTCCTCCCCAGCCATGCAGAACAGTGAGTCAATTAAATCTCTTTCCTTCATAAGTTACCCAGTCTTGAGTATTTCTTTATAGTCGTGTGAAAAGGGACTAATACAGGCACAAAGAAGTCTGATGGTTAAGAACTCAGGCCATGGATTCAGACAGACTCAGTCTCAGGTCTCAGGCTTGCCACTTACTATCTCGGGACTGTGGGCAAGTGACTTCATTGTTCAGAACCCATCTGGAAAATGGGATGGAGGAGAACCCAGGGAACGTGGTGTTTGGGATCCACATGGGGAAAGAGCTTCTTTGTCTCTGTACCGTAAGGACTGGAGAGTCATGTATAGAGGATGTTGGGGGAAGCCTAGGAGAGGGCTCATCAATAAGAGGATGTTGAGATGCTGCATGGAATTCCTAGGGCTTGGGTCTAGATCTTTTTCCTGCAGTTCCTTCTCTCTGACAGCCTAAAAGGGTATGAATTGGATTTTGTGTGTTTTTCTCCTGATTCAGAGCTCGGAGGAAGGACTCCTATGCACACAAGGCCTGTTAAGCGCCCTTGGGACCATGTGCTGCTGGTGGGTGGGGCCCTGGCACATAGTCATGCACATCTTTCTCTCCATCTGCATCAAGCCCATGCTCTTGGCTCCAGGTGGACACTGCACTGGCTGTCCTTTGCCCGCTGCTGAACCCTCTGTGTTGTCTGCAGCTGGTCGGGTGCCCCATGTGCAGAGAGAGGGGGCTGTGGCAGAGATATCACTGCCTCTGTTTCCCGTGGACTTCCACCTGTTTGACCACTGTCTGCTTATGACTGAGGCGTGTCTGTGGGATGGCGGCTGCTGTATGGGCAGATCGGCTCTATGATCACATCTTATCACATGTATATTTACACCTGCGTCCTGGTTACACCTGGAATATGTCATACCTGTCTACACCTGCTATATGTTTACACCTGGGATCATATGGCCCCTCTCAGCCTCATCCCCTCTGCCTCCACTCTGTCCTCCTAGGCTGAGCCCAGCCTGTAGGTTTGCTCCTCCAGCTGGGCTCTTTATCCCCAGATTCTGACACGGGTAATCCTCAGTGGGGTTGGGATTGGATTGTTTCTTCCTGCTTCCAGCAGTCAGTTCTCAACTCAGGCCCTGGACTGCTTGGAGGCAGAACTTGAACTCTTGCCAGGTTATGAAGCCAGAGATGAGAGGCTTCTGTCTCTGAATCTCCTAAGTCTGCACCAGGTAGGGTGCCTGACATCCTCCCCACCCGTGTTTGGAGAGGAGCCCAGATGATCTGGGACAAGGGTTGGCCTGGCCCAGCTCAGCTGACTGAGAACTGTCATGGTAAGTATACACTTTTACCTGAATGCCCTTGTCTTGGAAGGGCAGGGTGGAGGCAAACTTGGGGCTCAGAGTCCTCTTCTTGGCAGACTGCCAAGAAGGTGCAGAGACCTGAGAATTCAGTACTCCTGCTGGGTCACCCTGAGCTGCACCAGCTGGCCCAACCCCAGGTTTTGGCTGGCTGCCCAGGCATGGAAGACACACCCAGACTGTGGGGATTGGCTGCCCCAGCCCACCCCAGCCCAGCCCAGCCCAGCCTCCTAGGGCCTTCTTCCCTAGATCAGGGGCCGGGCCACAGACCTCCCAGCAGAAGAGGAGAGAAGGCTGTGTGGGACAAGCTGCTCCCGACAGAAGGTGCCAGGCTGGGGGTGGCAGGGCTGGAGGGTCCTGGCCTGGGATGGGGAGAGGCACTGCCCAAGGCTGCGGTGGCTTCAAGCTGCTGGCCTGGGACAGTGGTGGTTTCCTGGTACCTGGACCCCTAGCAAACTCCCAAGGATTCAGGCTGGGCCCTTCTGGACTCTAATCAGCTCCTCTCTCTTTCCCTTTCTCTGTGGTTACCAAGTCACTGGAGGCGACTTGGTTGTTGGTTTTGGTTGGGCCTTTCTGGACTTTAGATCTCAGCCCTTGGTTACCCATCCCTGAGCCCTCCCTGTCCTGACCCCAGCAGTTCCTGACCCTGCCCCTCTCCGCTGTCCCCAGAGCTCTTCCCTGGGCCTCAGGACCTCACCCTCCATCCTGTGTGCCCTGCAGGATGTCGCTGCTGAGTCTGCCCTGGTTGGGCTTGGGGCAGGTGGCAGCATCCCCTTGGCTGCTACTCTTGCTGGCTGGGGGCTCCTGGCTCCTCGCCCGTGTCCTGGCCTGGACCTACGCCTTCTATGACAACTACCGCCGGCTCCAGTGTTTCCCGCAACCCCCGAAAAGAAACTGGTTTTGGGGTCATCTGGGCGTGGTGAGTGCGACAGCAAAATGTGTCTGGGGTCTCAGGGTAGATGGATTTCCAGAGGAGCAGGAATGGGGCTCAGGGAGCTGGGTATTGATGGTGGCTGGGGTCTGGGACCCCAGAGAAGCAAGGGCGATGGCTCACTCATTCCTCTGCTCATTCACTCATCCCTCTCCTCACTCATTTGTCTGCTCACTCACTCATTCCTCTCCTCGATCACTTATTCCTTTCCTCACTCACTCATTCCTCTCCTCACTCACTCCTTCCTCTCCTCACTCACTCCTTCCTCTCCTCACTCACTCCTTCCTCTCCTCACTCACTCATTCATTCCTCTCCTCAGTCACTCATTCCTCTCCTCACTCACTCATTCCTTTCCTCAGTCACTCATTCCTCTCCTCGATCACTTATTCCTTTCCTCAGTCACTCATTCCTCTCCTCACTCACTCCTTCCTCTCCTCACTCACTCCTTCCTCTCCTCACTCACTCATTCCTCTCCTCACTCCTTCCTCTCCTCACTCACTCATTCCTCTCCTCACTCGCTCATTCCTCTCCTCGATCACTCATTCCTCTCCTCAGTCACTCATTCCTCTCCTCACTCACTCCTTCCTCTCCTCACTCACTCCTTCCTCTCCTCACCACTCACTCCTTCCTCTCCTCACTCACTCATTCCTTTCCTCACTCACTCATTCCTCTACTCACTCACTCATTCCTCTGCTGTTCCATCCCAAGCCTTTCTCCCTTCCTTGTCCTGTCACCCCAGCCTGTCTGGATCCTTTTCCTGCCTGTCTTTCTTACAATAGTGCACCTCCCAGAGGCTCCTGCAGGGCTGTGGGGGTGCACAGAGCAGGGTTCTCCTGGCATTCCCACCTTCTCCACTGCTGGACTTGAGGCCTCCTGAGTCCGCTGCACAGGGGCTGCTCCCTGCCTGGCCCATTTGCTTGTATCTGCCTATCTCTGGGCTGCTGCTTTCCCACAGGAATTAGCTCTGACTCCCTTCCCCTTGGAGGGACACAGCTGGGCCAGAAGAGAAGTGTGGGCAGTCTCCCACCTCCTCCCCTTCCAAGGGCGACATGCTCTCCCCCACTAAGATGTCCCAATGAGCCCTGTAGTCCAACTTGGATATAATTTGGCCACTCCCTTACTGTTTCAGAAGCTGTCCTTGACATCCTCAGACCTTGCCCTCTGACTTGGACCTGCCCTCACCTTTGGGGGACGTGGCCTCTGTCTGCTCACTTACAAATGGCAGGATTGATGGGCGTGTCCACAGGTGAACAGGAAGCACTAGCATAGAGCCTGGTGTAAGGGAGGCTCTCCCAGGTGGGGGCTGCCATTCTGATGGACATTAGAGACACCTCTGCTCCCCCGGGGGTTGCTGAGAACAGAGGGCCCTCAGCATGCAGACCCTTCATCTGTGGGAGGAACTAGTGCCCGTGTGGACCAGCCAGGACACAAAAGCATGTGGGAACCAGCCCTAGGGATATGTCCTGAGGCCACACTGCTGCCCCAAACCTCCTCCCATGGGGATCCTTCCCGTATAGCAATCCCCAGACTGAAATCATTTCCAGGACGAGAAAACACATCCTCTTGAGCAGACAGCTCGTCTTCTCCCTCTGCTTTGGTGTTTACCCTCGGATCCTGGGACAGCCCCAAGAGAGAAGGAGCAGAGGTCAGCAGAAATCCCCTGCAGCTGTTCAGAATCCAGACACGCTGCTCACTGCAGAGGCTGCACCGTGTCCGGTGGCTGCAGGGGGACTAGCTGTGGCTCCTTCCGGGGAGGTGCATTACTCAGGGTCCTCCCTAGAAACAGATAGGGTCTGTTTCTTCTTACCTCCAATGCATGTATGTATGGAGACAGAAAGAGACAGAGAGATAAGAATTTATTATGGGAATTGGATAATGTGATGATGGAGGCCAAGAATTCCCATGATATACCATCTGCAAGTCAGAAAGCAGGGACGCTGGTGGTATAAATTCAGCCTGAGTCCAGAAAGGCCTGGGTTGGAGTTCTGAGGGCAGGAGAAGACCAATGTCTCAGCTGCAGAAGAGCGAGCAAGTTCTTCCTTTCCTCTTTTTGTCCTGTTCAAGAATTCAATGAATTGGATGGGTTCTGAGGTCTCAGGGTGGATGGGCTTCCTGAGGGGCTGGACTTCCAGTAGGGGCTCAGGGAGCTGGGTATTGATGGTGGCTGGGGTCTGGGACCCTAGAGAAGCAAGAGACATGGCTCACTCATTCCTCTGCTCACTCACTCATTTCTCTCCTCGCTCACTCATTCCTCTATCCACTCACTCGTTTCTCTCCTCACTCACTCATCCCTCTCCTCATTCACTCATTCCTCTCCTCACTCACTCATTCCTCTCCTCACTCACTCATTCCTCTCCTCACTCACTCATTCCTCTCCTCACTTACTCATTCCTTTCCTCGCTCACTCATTCCTCTACCCACTCGTTCATTCGTCTCCTCACTCGCTCATTCCTTTCCCTGCTCCCTCATTCCTTTCCTCACTCGCTCATTCCTCTACCCACTCACTCATTCCACTCCTGATTCACTCATTCTTCTCCTCACTCCTCTGCTCACTCACTCATTCCTCTCCTCGCTCACTCATTCCTCTACCCACCCACTCATTCCTCTCCTCACTCACTGATTCGTCTCCTCATTCACTCATCCTTCTCCTCACTCACTGATTCCTCTCCTCACTCACTCATTCCTCTCCTCACTCACTCATTCCTCTCCTAACTCACTCGTTCCTCTCCTCACTCACTCATTCCTCTACCCACTCACTCATTCCTCTCCTTGCTCATTTCTCTCCTCATTCATTCATTCCCCTCTTCAGTAACTCATTCCTCTGCACCTACTATTTCCATCCTCAGTTCAGCTTCAAACACTAGTATCTCCTGAAACACTCTCAGAGACCCACATAGCAATAATGTTTGAGTGGGTATCCTGTAGCCCAGTCAAGTGGACACCTAGAATTAACCATCACAGGAGTTGACGGCCCCCTGACTTGCTTTCAGATCGCTCCTACAGAGGAGGGCTTGAAGAACTTGACCCAGCTGTCGGCCACCTATTCCCAGGGGTTTACAATATGGATGGGTCCCATCATCCCCTTCATCGTTTTATGCCACCCTGACACCATCCGGTGTATCACCAATGCCTCAGGTACCCATGCAGAGCTTGTGGTGGTGGGTGCCAGGCCAAGCCTCTGCGTGGCCCCTGCAGTACCCAGGCCCCTCCTTGAGTACCCAGGCCCATCACTGAGACTTCCACCTCAATGTCTTCTCCCTCCATTGCCATCTGCTTCCTGCTTTGGTGTTCTGGGCACCACTGGGGCCCCAAGACGCCTCAATTCAGGGCCCTTTCTTGAAGGAACCCCCATGCTTGAGGAGAAGGGTCCGGACAGAGACATTTCCAGCTTCATGGGATCAGGAATGGGCAAGAGAGAGATGGGTGTGACAACCTAGAGGAGAACTGGGTGCCTGCTGGGGCAGGCTGAAAGGCTTCCTGGAGGAAGAGTTGTTGGAGCTGAGTCTGGACCAATGAGTAGAATTTTTTAAAAGTGTGTGGCAGGATGATGCAATAAGCATCATCGGTATTTGGGGGCCCAGCCAGTCCTGGCACCAGCCTTGTCCTTCCCTCAGCCCAGAGTGGTAGGAGGACTTGTGACTGGTGGAGAATCTGGGCTGCTATTCATGTGATGTCCACCTATGATGGGTCAGTTCCTTCTACCTCATCCTGTCACTCATCCACCCTACGTTCACTGCTCTCCTCCTGCAGGCTTCAGGACTCTCCAATAGGAGATCCCACACCAGCTGCTTGATCTTCCCTGCTCTCTGCCCTTCTCGTCCTTGGACACACCAGGCTCAGCAAGGGAAGGGGCAGCATCCCACAGAAACTATGGCTCTGACCCCAAAATGCTTAGTGACTCTGTGCAGGTCACCAGCTCTCTCTGGCTGCTGAGGTCTCTTTCAGTTGTGAGTGCTGGAAACTCAACTTTGTGTGCTCTAAGCAAATAAACAGAATCAAAAGAGTGTAAAGTCCAGGGAGGGTGGTCTTCAGGCATGGCTGGATCCAGGTGTCAATGAACATCATCAGGAATCTGTCTCCTTTTCTTAAATTCACCATTCTCTGCATCACTTTTTCTTTTAAGGCAGTCCTTTTCTTACGGTGTCAACCATGGGTCCCAGAAGCTCAGTTTTTGTCAGAAAGCTCACCTTTCCCCCAGGGGCCCCATAAATATTCTATGATTTCTATATTACACCTCGTTACATCTGGTATTGTTTTCCTGGGATCATATGGAGAAGTCATCATGTGTGTGGCTCAGCTGTGGCCAAGGACACTTGGGGCATATGCCAGACTTTCTGGTTCTTCTCTGACATGTAATTTGAAATTGTCTTTTCTCCTCCTTGTCATCTCTTGGCAATGTTTGTAGCTTGTCCAAGATCTGGGACCCAGCGTCCCTTTGAGAGCTGTCAGAGTTATTATTTTAGTGTTCCTGAGCCAGGTTTCAGAATTCATTGGAATCATACTTGAAGAAGAGTCTTGGTTACACCTGTGACATGTTCAAGACATTTAAGAACTCATATTTAAATCCTATCTGGAGCCTGTCTTTGGGGTACACAGAGGTTATGTCTGACTATCTCAGGTCCATGTCAGATGATGTGTCATTTAGGGCTCCTCATGTGTGTTGTGTCTATGCCAAGGCATGTTAACATATGTTGGGGACATGTCCCAAGTCCCAGGTCCATGTCAGGAGATGATAAAGAGTGCTGGGGCGGACAGGGTGCCCTAGGCCTCTTTAAAGGTATTTTGTAGAGTGTGGAGCTACGCTTGGGTGTTGCAGAACATGCTGGGTCATGTAGGAGCCATGTCAAGGTGTTGTGGGGTGTGCTGTGCCCCGTTAGGTTGTGTCATTGCTCTACTGTGCTGTTGCAGCCTGGTCTGGTCCTTCTTCCTGTATCCTCCATTCTTCCTTTGCCCTTGGCCTCCTGCCTCCTCTTCTAAGCATGAAGTGGGGAAATTCTTGGTAGGGAGCCTCCCTCTACACCTGAAGTTCCTCTCTTGCCCTCTGCATGGCCCCTGACGGTCGTCATTCATGCCAGCTGCCACTGCACCCAAGGATGACCTCTTCACCAGGTTTCTGAAGCCCTGGCTGGGTGAGTACCTGCAGACGAAAGGGGTTGGGGATAACTTTGTAGGGGGTGGGGATGATGCTGCTCTTGCCCACTGCCCTTGGTTGCCCTACTAGGAGAAGGGATAATTCTGAGTAATGGTGACAAGTGGAGCCGCCACCGTCGGATGCTGACGCCTGCCTTCCATTTCAACATCCTGAAGCCCTATATAAAGATCTTCAATGAAAGTGTGAACATCATGCTCGTGAGTCCTTTGAACTCTGGTTCCCAGCTGCAGTCTTTGGGTGGAGGGACCAGGGACAGATCTGGTCTGGGATTTTGGCTCTGCTGGGTGGCACTGAGCCATTGTTCTTCCTGTCTGAGACTTGGTTTCTGCATCTTTAAAACGGGGATAATAATCCCTAATTAAAAGGTGGCAAGACGATCGAATGAAGTCATTTGCTTGGCACACAGTAGGTTCTCAGAAGGTGTTAGTTCCTGTTTTTCTCGCAGAAACCCTGTAAACTCAAGAGAGCAAAGATGAAGATTGCATAGTAGTCATTGCTGATTACAAACCACTTCAAAACTCATTGGCTTAGAGCAATAAGGGTTTATGATTGCTAACAAGTCTGTGAGACAGTTGGCTGGCCCTTCTGGATGTGGAAAGAATCACTCTTGGCACATGAGCAGCTGGGGATCAGGTAGGGGCTTTGCTGATCCTGGCTCAGTTCATTCACATGTTTGGGGCTTCACTGGTTTCAGGCTGATCTGGGATGGCCTCAGCTGTGACACCTGGACTTTCCCCCATGTGATTCTCTGCCTCCAGAAGGCATCTTGTTGTTCACATGGCAGAGAAGCTGCAATGCTTCTGGACATTGTCTCTGCAATGCTTCAAAGTTCAGCCAGGTTTGGGTCTATCAGAGTTATTACATCATCATTTCACCACATTGTATTGGCCAAAGAAAGTCAAAAGTCCAGTACAGACTCAAAGGGGTGTAAAATGGAATTAATGGGAGTTGCTGAAAAATTACTGTACAAAGGGTGTGAATACAGTGAGAAGTGAAGAATTGGGGGTCAGGATTTCGTGAAGTGTCTAGGATTTTTTTTTTAAATATACAAGCTGGTAAGTTAGCTCGTTACTGTTTGATGGATTCTAACACAAGACACGAGACTCCTGGGTCAGAGACAAAGGGTAGTTGATTACTCATGGCACAATAAGCAACGTGTACTTCTTGTTGGTTTGTATCCTTTTTCTGAGCCAGCCTATATTCCATGGGGATGACACTGGTGGGCCTCTATATTAGCTTGCTCATGCAATACATTTCATGACAGACAATGGGCATTAGGCTTAGGGAATCTGCTTTAATAGTGGCGATTACAAGCCTGATATTGGTCCAGGGGGAGTCATTGCCTTATCTCTCCAGGTTGTTGTCTGCAAACACAACTCTGAGATATGGCTCAGGTAAGAACATCACAGTCTTGCATTGGTGGCACACCCAGCAAGGATGCTCAGGGCTGATGAAGAAGTGCCTCTTCCAACACAGGGATATTTTTGAAATGAACTTATTATAATGCAGATGAATAAAGTGAACACTTACTGGTCACTCACCATATGCCTGAGAAAATGTCATGTCCCAATGCCAGGATATATGTTGTTTAATTTAATAACCCTGTGAGGTTGTGGTTATTTTTGACCTATTGCAGATGATGAACTGAGGGCCAGAGAGATTAGGGAGCTGAACACAGTTCAACCAGTTAGTAAGTGAGCTAGGAGTGGTGGAACAGAGATTGTATCCTGGTTTATCTGTCCCCAAAGCAGATCACCTTGACCTTTATTGAATATTGGACAGGTGGGACCTAGAGGAGGGCAATAGGTTGTACCAAGGGCACACAGAGCATAGGAGACAGAGCTGAGACTTGAATGCCGGTCTCTTGGCTCCAAGCCATGGGTCTTCATCTCCTAATACTAACACCTTCTGCTTCCATCCAAGTCTGGTTCTCGCTGGCAATTGGTTCCTGGGGCAGAGGACCAGGGGGCTGATTGAGGGGGAGTCCCTCCTGATACTTGGGGCTGGGGAGGGGCACAAAGGAGGCAGGGCCCAGCTCTAGCTCTCTTCACTTCTCTGGCCAGGACAAGTGGCAGCACCTGGCCTCAGAAGGCAGCAGTCGTCTGAACATGTCTGAGCACATCAGCCTGATGACCTTGGACAGTCTGCAGAGATGCATCTTCAGCTTTGACAGCCACTGTCAGGAGTGAGTTCCTTGCCAGGGCCTGGGATGTGAATCCACGGACCAAAGGGAGTTAAATTGGGGAGGGAGGAATGAGCAAAGTAACCCGAAGTACCTTTCAGGATGATTTGTATCATAGTTGGGCTTTGAAGGTCGAGGAAGAGGAGAAAGTGTTGTCTTTCCAGGTAGGTAGAAATATCTGGGTAAAAGCAAGGTTAGGATGAGCCAAGCATGTGCAAGAGACAGTAGAAATGAGGTTGTGGAAGTAGGGGCTAGATATTAGGGACACTGAAAATTAGGAAAAGGGGTATGAAGTTTATCAAGAGATTTTCAGAGAGCTTTTGTAGTTTCAGCTGATGTTGGATGTGGTAAGAGCTGAGCTGTGTGGGAAACTGACGGCTCGCCACCACACCCGGTTAATTTCTGTATTTTTAGCAGAGAGGGGGTTCTCCATGATGGCCAGGCTGGTCTCGAACTCCTGACCTCAGTTGATCCGCCCGCTTTGGCCTCCCAAAGTGCTGGGATTACAGGCATAAGTCACTGTGCCTGGCTGCTCCTTCTGTCTTACAGTGTGAAAGTTGAAACAGAGAGAGAGAGAGAGAAAGAAAGAGAAATAGAGTTGGTTATGGTGGGGGTTGGAGCAGGGATCAACTGGAAGAGGATGAAGTCTGAGTTGTGCGGACATTTTTGGTAAGGAAAATGATCAGTACTGGATACTGGGTGGGAGACAGAGGAGAGAAACATGGTGTCCTTCCTATACTCTAGGTGCCTTGGTGCATGGAGACACTCTCTCAGAGATAGGAAGCAGGGAGAGAAGACGGTCTGGAGAGTCAATCTCATGACTGATACCCACCATGCATCTCTAGGACCATCTGTTTCTAGATACCCAGTTTCCTGATGGGAGGTAGCTCCTGGCTGCTGGTGGGAGGTGTTCCTGGGGCTTTGCATATGTTACATTGTTGCCTCCCTTTCTGCCCTTGGCCTGCAGGAGGCCCAGTGAATATATTGCCACCATCTTGGAGCTCAGTGCCCTTATAGAAAAAAGAAGCCTGGATATCCTCCAGCACATGGACTTTGTGTATTACCTCACCCAAGACGGGCGGCGCTTCCGCAGGGCCTGCCGCCTGGTGCACAACTTCACAGATGCTGTCATCCAGGAGCGGCGCCGCACCCTCCCCACTCAGGGTATTGATGATTTCCTCAAGGACAAAGCCAAGTCCAAGACTCTGGATTTCATTGATGTGCTTCTGCTGAGCAAGGTGGGTTGCTCTACGATCTGAATTTAAGTGAGAGAATAGAGCTTGATGTCAAAGGTCAGATGAAATAAATTGGGCTTCATCCAGAGGGCACTGGGAGCCATGGAAGATGCTTGAGAAAGAGAAGGTCACAGGTAGGTTTTAGAGATGACTCTGTTGAATGCAGCCATCAGGGCACTGCTAATTTTGAAACTGTGAGGAGCCTGAGATTTTACTCAACTTACAAGTCAGTTTGTTAGTCTTTCACATTTTTATGTATATCTATATGTCTATGTCCTTGTCTAAATCTATGATAAAAGATGCACTAAACCCCTGGATCACAGCAGCCCATTAGCTATTTACAGCAATAACAGTAGGCAGAGTAGGATTGTAGTGCTGGCTCCCCACTCCTAGAGCATCACAATGTTTTTACCTGTAAAATTTGCACCATAGGAGAGGGGCCCCCACATGATGAGTCTTATATCTTATATAGGACAGCTAGCTCATGTGCTCCTTCTTTCTTACAGGGTGAAAGTTAGAGAGAGAGAGAGAGAGAGAGAGAGAGAGAGAGAGAGAACACTGTGTTCTGGAGTATAAACTACTCCTCTCCAGTGAGATGGCAATTTCTATAGTTTATAACCCAAATATCTTCTGGACAGATAAGATTCTCTTCAGTTTACCGCTCTAGAATGTGAGCAAATATTTTTGGAGCAATACATAATTTCTAACCTCCAAGGCAAATTGCCATTCAAATATCCTGTACCCCAGGTTGCCAGTATCTTTTTCTCTGAAAGTCTGCATGACGCAGAAATATGAAAATATTCCAGAGCCATTGATTCCTCCCACCAGGGACCAAAGAGGAAGCAAGAGAGCTGGGGGAAGCCCTTGGAGTGGGGGCTCTGGTGATGGTGACCAAGAAAGATCTAGAAGGGCAGAGTGGGTTTGAGTTTCTGGAAGAAGATTTGATCTTCAGATATTGTCTCAGGTTAGACTCAGGAGTCTCAGAGATAGTATAGTGTGTGTGTGTGTGTGTGTGTGTGTGTGTGTGTGTCTGTGTGTGTTTTGCTTTCTCTTCAGGATGAAGATGGGAAGGCATTGTCAGATGAGGATGTAAGAGCAGAGGCTGACACCTTCATGTTTGCAGGTGAGGGTCCCAGTGTGGGACTACGGTGGGAACAGGGGTTCTTCCATCTCAGGAACCTGATGGGTGGACACTGGATCACTTCATTCTGCCCATCGTCCCCCTCCCTCCATCCTCCTGAGGGCCTCAATATATGGGCACTGTCCACCTGGTGGTGTTGAAGCAGCCTGGAGACCCGATCGTATCTGGCTGCTCCTCAGGCCATGACACTACGGCCAGCGGTCTCTCCTGGGTCCTGTACAACCTCGCAAGACACCCAGAATACCAGGAGCGCTGCCGACAGGAGGTGAAAGAGCTTCTGAAGGATCGCGAACCTAAAGAGATTGAATGGTGAGTGCAGGTTCTTGTGGACTGTTCCTAAACCTGTCATTTCTTTGATCCCCAGGTGGTGAGGGGAGCAGGAGCTGTTTTGTTGATTCTGCCACTATTGCTTAGTGGGTATAAATGCAGAGCACCACAGGTGGGGCTTGATACTCAGCCTGGCTGTCAGGGTAAAGGTTACCGGCCTTTAGGATTGAAAGACCCGGGCTGCTGAAAAAATTAGTGACAGTATGTGAGGACAGATTATGCCACATTGCACATATTCAGCAAGTGAACTTCCCCTCCACTCTCTTTCTTTTCTCCTGGAAATATAAAAAAAAAAATATATATATATATATATGTGTGTGTGTGTGTGTGTGTGTGTGTGTGTGTATGTGTGTATATATATATATATTTTGAACATCCTCACTTCTTAAATGTTTGCTCAGGTGGCGAGGGGAAGTTGTTTTTGTCAATTCTTCCATTATTGCTTAGTAGTACTAGGAGCAGAGCCCAGAGGCAGAACTTGGTATCCAGCCTGGCTAGCAGGGGAAAGTTTCCAGGCTTTTGGGACAGAGAGTCTTAGCCTGCTGAGAGAACCAGTGACAATATGTGAAGGCAGATGATGACACCTAGACATATTCAGTGAATGAATTTCTCCTTCACTCCTTTCTTGTTTTCTCTGAATTATCATTTTTTTCAAACATCTTTACTTCCTGAATGTTTGCCCTTCTGTTCCCTAATTCCTACCCTCCAGTTCAGTCCAGGGAGTTGTAAGAGAGACCTGGGGGTAAAAGTCATATATCTCTTGTCTAGAACACCTGCATCATTCATCCATTCAGTCTTCATTCAGCAAACTCTTCCACATGCCTTTCCAATGAGTTCTGTTCCCAGCACCTTTCTGTGCTCTGGAGACCTGGAAAGAACGCTGCCAATGAATGTGTTTTCCAGGTACTCCCAGCCTAGCGGGAACAGTCCCAGTGCAAGGCATTCCCAGTCCACATGGGCAAGAATGGAGTTGAGAGCAAGAGAAGCATGGCTGGGAGTGTAGAAAGTGTTTCAAGCTAAATGTGGTGGCTGGCGCCTGTGATACCAAATACTAAGGAGGCTGAAGTGGGAGGATCACTTGAGGTCAGGTTTAAAATGAACCTGGACAATATCTAAATCTGTAAAAAAATCCATCTAAATCTGTAAAGAACCCATCACTAAAAAAGTAAAAAAACAAAATAATAAAGTGCCTCAACTGAAAATCTGAATGATGATCAGTAGATGTCTGGAGGCAGTAGTGCCCTAGGTCAGAAAGACAGCCTGGGCAAAGATGCAGACAGCGGGGGGTGGGGGGTAGAGGGGGAGAAGAGGGAAAGAGAGAAGGAGTGGTTTATGCATCGGGGGAAGGAGATGGTTATACAGGGAGAAAGAAGTAAGATGGAGGGAAAGTGAGGGAGAGCAAGATAGATGCTTGCTGGGAGAGCAATAGAGGAGGGAAGAAAGAAGGAGACAGAGAGAGAATGAGAGAGGAAGGAACTGAGTTATGATGAGATAATAACCAAGGCGGTGAAGGCAGAGTCCGGCTGTGGAAGGCATGGGAAAGTGGTAATGGCTTCCATTTTAACCCAAAGGCAATGGGGGGCCATAACAAGTGGTTGAGCAGGGGAGGGTTGGGTCAGATCTGGGTACCAGAAAGATCTTTTCAGGGCAGCTGTGGAGACAGGACAAGCTGTAGAATGAAGTCCCAGTGAAGATATTCTGGAACCTGAGCCAGGCCAGGGGCTGGGGATGGAGAGGAGGCAAGGGACTGGACAGGTGTTTTGGAGGCAGTGTCCTCCCGTCCAAGCCTTTGCTCAGCACAGCAGTCCTAAAAGGTGACAACATATTTTTATGCTTTTAAAAATCAAAATATCAAGTAACATTGTGCACTTTGTAAACAAAAGTGTCCAAAACATTCATAAAAATGAGCTTCTTTCTTAAGTCTCACCCTAGTGGTTTCTACCATGAATGGTTTTGTGTGTGTCCCTCCAGAAAATGGCTATCCTGATGCCCACTTTATATGAACACAGATTTCTTCTATACAAATAAGAGTGTATAAAAAAGACACAGTACTTTTTCCCAAGACGGTGGATTGGAGGCAATGACAGTGTGCTCTCCCATGTGGAAGGACAGAATAATGTGTAGAGATTCACACTGTGAACTTTCTTTTCCCAAGAAACAACATGGGAACTTAACAGGAAAACCAAAAGAATCCACAACCCTTCAACAGAAGCTGCAGGCTGCAGCCTACTCTGTGAGACAGGTGAAAAACTGTAAATCCCCAGACTGTGAGAAGGGGAGAGACTGCCTCCAAGATGCACATCTTCACTGGGGAATCTGAAAATCCAGACCACAGGGGAAGGCCTTAACTCTACCCAGGGCTTGAACTCATTTAAGGAGTGGTGAGAAATATAAAAGTAGAAGTAGCAGCAGGAAGTGCCTTACAGGCATTCCCAATCTCCAGCATGGACTGAGGGAAGCCATTCCTTATTGTATGTCACAGGGGGCCTTGGGGAAGTCATAGAACTAGCTCAGGCGAGGTCACAGGTTGAAATGCCCAACTGAATTTCTTGATATAACCTCGAGTGGGGATGAACGCCCTTGACCAGAACCTGGCAGGCAAGCAGGAAGCGTGCTGTAGACAGGAGTTCAGGAGCTGGGTGCCTGGCCTTGGACAGGGACAAAAAAGGGCGTGCCCTGAAAGCATTGCTATTTCTGTGGGAGAAGTTTATTGCCTGAGGCAGGTCTGAGTTCTGTGCAGACTGTCTGGATCTAAATCCAGTGCTATGAGTGGAACACTGCAGGTGTGATACCCACCTTGTGCCAACTGCATGGGAGCTGGATGAGGCTTACTGCCACCTGCTACTCTCCACTCCCTTGGCAAACTCTTCTGTGCAGCAGAGGCAGGTATACTCACCTCCAGAACATTACCTCAGTGATCTGAGAACTGCCCTCTGACTTTCACAGGGCAAAACAAACAAACAAAAAAAAGTTACAAAACCAAAAAACAAAAAAAACAAAAAAAACACAAAACCTAGGAATATACTTAACCAAGAAGGTTAAAGCTCTCTACAAGGAGAACTACAAAGCAGTGCTAGACACAACCAGAGATGACACAAACCAATGAAAACATATCCCACGTTCATGGACTGGAAGAATCAATATTGTGAAATTGATCATACTGTGCAAAGCAATCTACAGATTTAATGAACTGCCTATTAAAATACCTTCATCATTTTTCACACAACTGGGAAAGGCAATTCTAAAATTCATATGGAACCAAAAAAGAGCCTGTGTAGTCAAGGCAATACCAGGCAAAAGGAAAAAATTTGGAGGCATCACATTACCAGACTTCAAATTACATTACAAGGCTACAGTTACCAAAACAGCATGGTACTGGTATAAAAGTAGGCATTTAGACTGATGGAACAGAAAGGAGGACCCAGAAACAAAGCCAAATACTTACAGCCAACTGATCTTTGACAAAGCATACAAAAACATAAATAGGGGAAAGGACCCCCTATTCAATAAATGGTGCTGGGAGAACTGGATAGCAATATGTAGAAAAATGAAACTGGATTCTCATCTCTCACCTTGTACAAAAATCAAAGGCTTACATCTAAGACCTAAAAGCATAATAATTCTATAAGATAACCTTGGAAAAACTCTTCTGGACATTGGCCTAGGCAAAGAATTCATGGCCAAGACCACAAAAGCAAATGCAACAAAACCAAAAATAAATCAGTGGAACTTAATTAAATGAAAACACTTCTGCATAAAATCCATCCAGCAATCCGACTACTATTCACCCAAAGGGAAATAAGTCATTATATGAAAAAGATACAGGCACATGCATGCTTATAGTAGTACAATTCACAATTGTAAAGATATGGAACCAACCTAAGTGCCCATCATCCAACGAGTGGGCAATGTGGCATATATATATACCATGGAATACTACTTGTCCACAAAAAGGAATGAAGTAATGTCTTTTGCTGCAACTTGGATGGAACTGGACGCCATTATTCTAGGTGAAGTAACTCAAAAATAGAAGACCAAATACCATATGTTTTCACCCGTAAGTGGAAGCTAAGCCATGAGGACATAAATACATAGAGAGTGATATAATGAGCTATGGAGACTCAGAGGACAAGGTTGGGAGGTGGGTAAGGGAGAAAAGATTACATATTGGGGACAGTACACACTGCATGGGTGATGGGTGCACTAAAACCTCAGAATTCACCACTATAGAAATCATCCATGTAACCAAAGCACTTGTACCCCAAATGCTATTGAAATAAAAAGAAATAAAGTAGACACAGATCTGCACATTAAAATATATCTTTGGGAGCTTTTGTTTTCTCTTTCTCAAAATATGAGTTTCGGAAAATTTGTTATTTTTAATTGACAAATTTTAATTATATATATTTATGGGGTGCAATGTGATGTTATATGTATACAATGCGTAATGACTAAATCAATTTAATAAACATTCCCATCATCTCATATACTCATCATTTTTGTGGTGAGAACATTTGAAATTTGTTCTCTTAGCAATTTTGAGATATATATTATTATTAACTGTAGTCATCATGCATGTAATAGACCTCAAACGTATTCTTCCTGTCTAATGGAAACTTGTACCCTTTGACCAAAGTCTTTCCGTTCTTTCTTCCTCTCTTCTCTGGTAACCACCATTCTCTTCTCGGTTTCTATGATTTCTATGTTAACCATTTTAGATCTCACAGGTAATTAAGGTTGCGTGTTATTTTTCTTCTTGTGCCTGGCTTACTTCACTTAGCGTAATGTCCTTCAGGTTCTTCCATGTTGTCACAAATGAATTTTCTTCTGTTTTTAAGGCTGAATAGCACTCCATTTTGTATATATATCACATGGAAAATGAGTTTTGAATAACAAAAGCAATGATGAGAACAGGTTCTTCTTGCACTCAATGAGACATTACAGATAAGACAAGGGTTATCCTTGACATTCCTGCTACCCCACCTAACCTCCCTTTCTCCAAGGGGGCCTGCAGAGATACTGATCTGTCATCTATCTGCCTGTTTGTTTATCAATCTATCTACATATCTTTCTATCATATATCTCCTTTTATATTCCATATATTTTTTGTCCTATGGTATTTACATATATGGACATTTGTGAACATGCTTTTTTTCCACTCAATAGTGTGTCTAATAGCTATTTTTTCTGAGTGCTGAATAGCATTCCATGTTTTATTTGTCCCATCCCTTTCTTGAAGACACTTGTGTAAACATTTCCAATCATTGTAGATATGGTCAATTTGCCTTCCAGAGTCTCTATACTGATTTACCTTCCGGCCTGCATTGTGTGACAGGACTAGTGATCCTTATTTTCTCCGTTTGTGTAGCTGTATAGTATTCCATCTTGTGTATCTTTATCTAAACATCTTCCCATCCATGTATATTTGGCTTGTTTCATGCTTTTGCTAAATTAAACCTGTGCAATTGGCATGTGTCTACAGAGACCATTGCTCATATCTGTAAGCATCTCTGCAGGACAAATTCCCAAAAGGGTAAATGCTGAATCAAAGAACACTTGCATTCTACAATTGTAATAATGATTGCAAATCCATTCTTGTATTAGCTGAGTTTGACGGCACAAGCTTTCCCACAAATTTGCTAAAAGTATTATTGTATTATTAAACTTAAAATTTTTGTCAATCTTCACATTTCACCTTTTAATCAGCGTTTTCTTAAATAAGAGTGAGAAAGAACATCCTTTGCCCAAGTTGATAAGCCACTTATTTTCTTTCTATGGGAGAGGTCATCTTATATTTTCTGCTGTTTTTCTTTGGGTTCTTTTTTCTTATTTACTTATAAGAATGTGTATCACAATTAATAGGTTTTTTTCTGTCTTTTGTTGCAAAAGATTGCCTTTTGACTTTTTTGGGGGGTGCTTTTGGTTAATTTTTATGAAGTTACATTTGTCCATATTTTCTTTTGTATCACACTACTGATCTATTTCCCAGAGTTTTGTGGGGCTTCCTTCAGCAGATGGGAAGTTTTCACTTATTCACACGACTGTCTCTGACCTTTTTAGTCTTTTGAATGCATCTGTTTTTATGACATTGCCAGACTATTTTTATGACTGTGACTGTTTTTTTCTTTTTTCTTTTATTGAGATGGAGTCTAGATTTGTGGCCCAGGCTGGAGTGCAGTGGTGCAATCTTGGCTTACTGAAACCTCCTGCCTCCTGGGTTAAAGCCATTCTCCTGCCTCAGCCTCCCGAGTAGCTGGGACTACAGGCACCCTCCACCACACCTGGCTAATTCTTGTATTTTAGGTAGAGATGACGTTTCACCACGTTGGTCATTCAGGTCTCAAACTTCTGACTTCAAGTGATTCACCCACCTTGGCCTCCCAATACTATGACTTTCTGAAAGGTTTTAATATCTGGCAGAGTGGTTTTTTTTTGTTGTTAAATCAACCCTTACAAACATTTGTTGTATGGTAAAGTGTATGTTTTATTGAGATTGAGGGAAATTTATAATGAAATACAGAGATTTCATGTTTCTTCTTTTTTTTTTCTTTCTTTTCTTTTCTTTTTTTTTTTTTTTTTTGAGAGGGAGTCTCGCTCTGTTGCTCAGGCTGGAGTGCAGTGGCATGATCTCCGCTGACTGCAAGCTCCACCTCCTGGGTTCACGCCATTCTCCTGCCTCAGCCTCCCCAGTAGCTGGGACTACAGGCACCTGCCACCATGCCTGGCTTATTTATTTATTTATTTTTTTGTAGTTTTAGTAGAGACGGGGTTTCACCATGTTAGCCAGGATGGTCTCGATCTCCTGACCTTCTGATCTGCCCGCCTCAGCCTCTCAAAGTGCTGGGATTACAGGCGTGAGCCACCACGCCTGGCCTCATGTTTCTTTTTAAGTTTCATCCAGGTATTTTATATTATTATGACTAGCATCTTTTATTATCTTTTCAGTTGACGTTTAATTCTACATGGCAAAACTAACGATTTATGCAAATAAATTCTGTGCCCAATGAACAGAGTACATGCTAAAGATGGTGTTGTGTATCAAGAGAAAAAATATAGATAATTAAGTAAAAGTTCTTGGGACAACTGGAAAGCCTTCTGGAAAAAAGGCAACTGAACCTGGTTCTCGTGTCTTATGACAAAATAATGTTCAGATTAATCATTTTTTTCTAAAAGAGTCCCAAAAGCTCTAGAAGGAACCATGAGAAAATTATTTCATAGCTCCAGAGTAGGGATAACCTTATTTTGACATAAATCCCAAGGGCTATGAAAAAGTGATGCACTGTTAAATGAGAAAAGATACATGCCAGGCATGGTGGTTCATGCCTGTAGTCCCAGTACTTTGTGAGGCCAAGGTGGGGAGATCACTTGAGATCAGTTCAAGACCAGCCTTGTCAACATGGGGAAAACCCGTCTCTACTAAAAAATAATAAAAAAAACAAAATTAGCTGGCCATGGTGGTGAATGCCTGTAGTCCCAGCTACTTGGAAGGCTGAGGCAGGAGAATCGCTTGAACCTGGGAGATGGAGGTTGCAGTGAGCCGAGATTGCGCCACTGCACTCCAGCCTGGGTGACAGTGACTCCATCCCCCCTTACCCCCCCCCAAAAAAGGATACATAATAGTGTCTACAGCAGATGGTGTGCTCCTATACAATTTTTTAAGATGCTAACAATCAGCCCAGAAAGCACGCATTAAAAAAATAATAACCTGGCAACGTGTGGGGAGAAGTAAGTGGCACTGGGTCATAGGAGTGGATTATGTTTTATAGTTTTCAAATTCTGAACCAGATAATTGTAGACGGTATTAAAATTTTAAATAGCCACTGCAAAAGGAGAAAGATTAAGCAGAGAATTCAGCTCCTTTGCTGGATCTTAAATGTTTATCAACGTTTTCCAGTGGGGCCTCTAGTGTTTCCTAAGTATAAAATCACTATCTGCCAAAATGATACATTTACTCCCACATTTCAAATGGCATGACTCTTTTTTTCCCTTGCCTCATTGTACTTGCTGTATCTCTAGTACCATGCTAAATAAGAGCAAAACTTTGGATCTGGGTATTTTGTTTTTTATTCATTTGCATTTGAGTTTGCTTTCTTGCCATAGACAATATTTATTTTTATGCAAATTTGTTAACTTTTTACCGCTGGCTTCTGGGTGTTTTCCTCAGAGTATATATATATATAAATATA